TTGAATTGTTTGTTTAAATCTAGTTTTAGTCAACTAAATCTGAAAACGTTTAGTCGACTAACATTATTAGTCGACAAAAATAACACTGATTTGTAGCACTCAGAAGCTTTAGACACAAACACAGTTTTGGCAGGTGGTAGGTTTGTTTTCTATTATAAGATGTGTGTGTATATATATATATATATAGTGTTCAAGTAGAGATTGTAGCCGTATTAGTCCAGTGATGTAGATGTAAAAAACAGATAAAATTCTTATCTTGTAATACCTTTTTTATTGGACTAACAGAATTTTTTAATGACAAGCTTTCGGGAGAACCTCCCTTTCTCAAGTCTGAAGCATTCAGCCTCGAGACCAGGATTTACCTCAGATTTTAGCTAGAAGACAGGTATCACAGCCCGCTTATTGATGCTTATTTTTTTTTTAAATTTGTATTTTATTAGGTTTTATACACACAGTATACAATTTTCCATTATATGTGTTATTATATAAGTTAGAACAGGATCAGATAACATTTCGTTGGGCTACCTGAGTTTTCGAGTTTGTGCAGTAGAATGTCGTGGTCTACTGTGTCAAAGGCCTTAGCAAAATCAAGGAAAATAGCTCCAGTTAGGGCTCCTTGTTCCATGCCAGTTTGGATGTCATTGCAAACTTTTAGGAGGGCAGTTGTAGTGGAGTGATTCTGGCGAAAGCCCGATTGATCAGGGGTCAGATAGTTTAATTGTTGGTAGTACTCACAAAGTTGCGTATGGACACATTTTTCTAAGATTTTTGACAATACCGGGAGCAATGCTTCAGACTTGAGAAAGGGAGGTTCTCCCGAAAGCTTGTCATTAAAAAATTCTGTTAGTCCAATAAAAAAGGTATTACAAGATAAGAATTTTATCTGTTTTTTACATATATATATATATATATATATATATATATATATTTTTTTTTTTTTACTATGTTTACTTTCTTTTAGGTGCAAATTCTTCACAGAGCAGTTCCCCAAGTTCTAGTGCTCCAAATTCCCCAGCGGGTTCTGGCCACATAAGGCCAAGCACTCTTCATGGCTTGGGTCCTAAGATTGGTGGACAAAGATACAGGTCTGGACGACGAAAATCTGCTGGCAGCATACCACTTTCCCCTTTGGCAAGAACACCATCCCCAACACCTCAGCCTCCATCACCTCAGAGGTCTCCTTCTCCTTTGTCTGGGAATTCATTGGGAACTTCAAAAGCAACCCCAAACATTCCTGCCAAAATGCACTCTCCACCAACAATTGTAAGACATGTTGTCAGGCCTAAAAGTGCTGAACCACCAAGGTCTCCTTTGTTAAAGAGAGTACAGTCAGAAGAAAAACTATCACCGTCATACTGTTGTGAAAAAAAGCACTTATGTCCTCGCAAGCACAATTTTGATATATCCAAGGAAGAAAACCACAATCACAAACCGTCACCACAAAGGGATGTAATTCTGCAAAGCTTAGAAGAGGTTACATGTGATGCTCCTTCCTCAACAAGGGTTAGACCTGTAGAGCAAGGTTGCCTGAAACGTCCAGTGTCAAGAAAATTAGGACAACAAGAGTCAATAGATGATCTAGACAAAGAGAAACTGAAGACTAAAATAGTAATGAAGAAACAAGATATGTTGGAAAGGCAAGATTCTATTTTAAAACAAAACATAATTCTTGATTTGCATAATGATCTAAGTAATGCAAACTTGTTGGGACAGGAGGAGAAAGAACAAAGAGAACATGCAAATCCATTAAAGAGATCAAGTATATCTGAGAGTAAAGGTTCTGCTTATGAGAGTTGGTCTGGAGGCATTCTGTATAAAGATGCTTACTGTAAGGGTATAAATTCACGAGCTAATGGTGCCAACATTTCTTTAGATGCTCAGCCATTCTGCCATGGGGTACAGCCACCTGAAACTGCTCACATATCATATGAACTAAAGAAAAACCCTGCTTCGTGTTCTCTCCAAGAAAAGCTTCCTCATTTATCCGACAGGATATTAAAGGATGAAAGCTTAGAAAAATCAACTAGCATTGATTATTTTAGAAAGAAAAAATCATTTGAAGAGAAGGATGGGAGTCTTTGCTCAGTCTCACAAATAAAACCTGCATTTTTGCACACCGATTCAATGACATCTCTTGATAATAGAACTTGCATTCCTATTACTCAGAGTATACCTATTTCTTGTACACCACTAAAAGCCTCTACGATCAGATCTGAAAATAATGACAAGTCACCTGTGTCAGCCTCTGAGACTTCTGTACGAAAAAGTCCTTCTGAATTTAAAATGGAAACCAGGTCAGTATCTTCTTTGAAACCAATTGAAGGTACTTTAGACATAGCATTACTATCAGGACCAAAAGTTTCAAAACTAGAATCTGACTGTACACCATTAGACAAAAAGTGTTACCAAAATCCAAAAACTGAAGAATCAAGTGTTACTTCAAATCCTGAAGGTTCTCGGAAGCCAGATAATAAAAGTACATTAATATTTGGGAAATCAAGTTCAAACTGCCTAAGCCAGCATTCTGTGCACCAGGGATCCATTAAGGAAAAGCCAAATGGATCTTCACGAGCTGATTTTAGTGCCATTGAGAATTGTAAAAATGAGGCTTTAGGATCCAAAGGGAAAGACACCGTTGCTGAGGTTGCAAACTCTTTTCAAAGTCACACATTGGGAGCTACTCAATCCACAGTAAGATATTCAGTGGCAAATGCATCAGAGGCTTTTGTGAAAGGTAATAGACAAGAGATGAAAAATCAGGACATGACCTCTGTCAAATCTTCATTGGAGCAAAGATTTACTAAACCCATATGTGAAAGGACAGATTCACCCAGGGAACCCTGTGAGGATAATGTTAGAACTACTTTGACAAATTCTAGTAACTGTGAAAAATTAATGTCTACACTGAGCAATGCAGAACAAGTAAAAACACAGTCAACAAAACTGAAGCCAGAGAATAACCAAAGCATAGGTAAGGCTAAGCTGGCAACAGGAAGGAATGCAGAACTTTCCACACTTTTTGAGCATTTAGGTGAAAAACCATCCAATACACAAATCAATCCATCACCTACTGTCTGCAGTGTGCAAGGTACAACATTACAAGAAATTACCCTTGAGCAAAAAAATTGTTCAGGTGTATTGGAGAAGAAGCAAGCTCATCTGCCAGTTAGTAAAGAAATCATACAATTCATTGCAAAGCCACAGGCTGCCGCTAAAAGTATGTACTCTTCTGACACAGAAGAAATAAAAATGAAATCCACTACACTCCTAAAAGAACAACATAGGTCTGCTCGTATGCAACTGGATGACTGTATCAATAAATCAAAAATGGGAATCGAGAGTAAATCTAGTCACTTCAAAGCAACCCAGTTGGACAAGCTTTCATCCATACAAAATCAAACCGCTCTCAACCTGAAAAAGAAAGAATCTAGTATTCAGCAAGTCATGGGATCTGTTAATCTTGAGAATGTTGCTGGTATAAATTTGTGTTCCCATTCCCAAATTAAAGAATCCACTAAAACAGAAAGAAGTGGTGCTTGTTCCGTTTCTATTGGAAGTGCAAAAAGTATCCCTGGTGTGACTGCCCATGAAAGTTTTTCTAATGGACGTCCAACACTTAATTCGGAAAGCCACTTTTGTCCCAACACATTTAAACCCAATGAATGCTCTGCAAAATCTCACTTAAAAGAAAAAACGAGTCAACATCCCAAGCTTGCTCGTGTCATGGCAACTAAAGGCTGTATTCAGAGCCGATCATCTCTGGAAAACATGGAACCTGGAATGTATGCTAAAGATAAAGCACAGCAAAACAAATGCACTGAAGCACTTTATGCCCTTACAGACAATGGGGAAACTAAGTTTAGTTGCAATGTTACAAAAAGAGATACCAAGGAAGTGACTGTCGAAAAGCCAAAACTTGGTATATCTACAGACTTTATAAGAAGAGAAATGGAGGTCAGAAAGGTGCCAAGTGAAGCAGATAACAGTGGTTCTTCTTTGCCTATAGCTAAAACTTTGCCCAACGTTGAAGGTTTATCACCTAAAACACGTTCTTTTGAATGTTCTGTAAGCACTTGTAAAGATAATGAGCAAAACCCGACTATGAGTAGCAAGTCTAAGAAAGATGTTCCTCTATCCTCTAGCAAAGCAAATGCCTTATCAAAGGAAGACAATGTACCCACTAAATCTGCTTCAGAAAAACACCCCTGCCCTGTTACAAATACTGTAAATACAGTGGCAAATCGAAGAGATCCACCTTTGTCTCCCGTTAGGAAAAATACAACAAAAAACTTTCCCAAATCACCAGCACCACCACTTGAAAATCCCGGTGCACTTTCCTCTGACAGAGACATTAAAGGACAGAAAAGAGGAAAGGACCCATCACAGACTAACTCTAACCAAAAGACTTCTTAATCTGCCAATGCGGTCAATAGTGATAAGACCTCCTTACTGTAGTAGCTGCTAGATCCAGACTAATGTCAGAAACCAGCACTGTGTTATGTTTTCATGCATCATTTCTGTTTTAGGATGAAACATGGAGTAGAAAGGGGTTTCATTTTACCTTTACTTTTTCCTCACTGCCATCTGTAAATTGTCCGGGTGCTGAAATAGGCAGGTGACACAAAAAAAAAGTACCCAATGCAGTAAGGAGCGGGAAAGGGCTATGGGGGGACGGGGGGGAAAGGTCTGTGTTAAAAAAAAAAAAAAAAAGTTGTATTTTGTGTTGAATGTAGAATATACAGTTTGCTGCTGAAATTCACCATTTTATTTGTTTTCTTAAAAAAAAATAAAAAAAAATAATAAGCAAAACACCCACCAGTAAATATAATTAAATGAACAAAAACAATGTTTTATGAATGTTACAGGTTTTTGAATGTTGGCACATAAAACAGAACTTAATCTAAGAGGCTGCACACTTTAGTTTTTTATGTTGTTGTAATAAATCCCAGTTTTATATATATATATATATATATATATATATATATATATATATATATATATATATATATATATAATGGCAATGCTGTGACTACTATAAGATGGCATTGAGGTTCTGCTATGTTTCCTGGTATTAAGTTCATTGCAAATTCATGAAGGTGAAATGAGAAATTCTACTGGTTAACACTGAGCCTTTTTGTATAAAGATTATTCTAGGCAAATATGGAGCAATCTGAAAAAACACTCCATCGGTTTCCATGGTGATTGCTCTATAAATAATACTTTATATACACACACATGTATATATAATTAGTTTTTATTTCCCTATATGCAAACATTTCAACAGTCTATCCCATAAGGTTCTCATTCTTCTAATAATGTGCAACATACTTAAACCCGATCACGTCAGGACATTTGTTGGGTATCAGTGGTATAATTCCTTTTTTAGATATCCGCTGTTACTGAACTAGTTTTTCATTATATTTAGAACGCTTTCTAAGTAACCCATTACCAGTTATATATATATATATATTTTAAATAGAGAATCTACAGACTGTTACAGACTGTTTTTTTCTGCTTTTGTGTTCATTATGCAAAATTAAAAATTTCATAGTAAAAGCCAATAAATGTAGTGCACTATTGCTATGGGCATGTGATACTGCACAGCCCTGCTAATGAAGTAAATATTGGAGCAATCATTTTTAATACAACACTCACATTGATTTCAATTCAATGATGGAGGGATTAGCCTTGTATGGACTAGAAATATGACTCTTGTACCATATATCCAGCAATTTTAAAAGATCTATACTTGAAAAGAAAAGGTGAGCCAGTTAATTAACCTGTATCCTAGCTTGGAGTATGTCTTAAAACATTAATGTCTTGGGGATTCTATAATTGCTGATTTCCTATACCCTATTCTAAAGAGTACATTGTGTTGCCCTGGTATCCAGGTGAGATAACATGTGCTAACAAATGAGAGTGAAAACAACTTTTTATATTGTAATTATTGCTTTTTGTTTTATTTTTTGAATCTAATTTTGAAATGTCTTTTTTTTTTTTTTTTATCTGTATAAAATTTGCATTAACCTCTCTGGTTTGTTATTTGTTGTGTTAAAATTTAGCTGGGGCCTTACTATACAGAAAATGATTGCTATCCTTGGCACGCTGTACTGGTTTTCACAATCTTTCTAAGTGCATTAACCCTTTGATTGCCAGGAACGTGCATTTTGCTCACCTCTCTGACTCTTAGAGGCTTAGAAAGCTTCATAATTTTCAAATCACAAGTCCTTTCTTTTTCTCTCTTTCTCTCTCTAAAATTTTTTTTCAATTTTGCAAAGCTTTTTCCTTTTTTTCTTTCATTGTTTCTAAATTATTCTGACAACATTTGATGATAATTATCAACTAAACTGAGCAGAATGAGATCTTTAATAAAGACTATGAAGTGCTGTTCTCTTTGCACAGTATAAGGAATTTCCGATCTTCATCTTTTGGCATATAGGAATGCAACTCGCATGTTGTTAGCAGTGTTTTCATCAATTGAAAGTTATTTTCAGATGACAGAGCAAACCGAGTGACGATAGTGGTCCTCTGTAATGCAGAGTTAGTTACGTGCAAGTGGATCGTGTGTACAGGTTAATCCTTGAAATGCCAAGAGCTGAGTTAATCTTTACCTCAGTTTAAAGGGACCATTTTGGGGCCTTTCATTTTCCTCCAAATGATTGACTGGTGACACATAATCTAGAAATGTAACACTACACCCCAATCCCACAAAAAAACAAAGTAGTTTCTGATTTACCAAATACTAATTCACTAGGATATATGATAAACAGGGGCTTATATTTTTCAGTGTCTTTTTTTTTTTTTTGTTCTTTGTTAATGGTTTACAAAATGACATAATAAAAAGCTTTCTGTGTTTGTGTATTGTCACTCACGTCATACTTGTAATACGTTGAAATCTCAAAGTACCTAATGTGTTAATGTACTACTCGTTTGTAAGTGTTTACTAATGTGTAAAAAAAAAATATCAATTGACTTTGTGTACTGTTAAGTCTCTCCTATGTACCTGTTAAAATTCTGTGCTTTTTTGTAGTTACTTCTGCTGTAGAAAAACCAGCTTCGTATCTGTGCAATAAAGTGTTTGCTGTCTTAACTTTCTATAAAACAAAATACTTAAATCAAAAAACTAAACAAAAATCAACTTTCTGAATGTCGTATTTGTTGTATATTGAAACAAGTATTTATACGTATTACAGCTGCAAAGCCTAACATTGAAATAAAAAGTCAGCATGAATGTTTAGAGTTGGTATTGTTTGTCTATTTATTGTCTGTTTGTAAGTATTGGATTTATCACAAAATCAATATATTCGTTGATAGCGGCATAGTCACAATAGTCTATTATGCAGAAATATTGATCTGTAAGCAAAGTATATGTGATTTACAAATAGACCATCTAACATTGGGTCTTGAGAGCGGTGTTTTTATAAAGTGCCACTGTCTTATGTCATATTTATACATCAAGAACATATATACACAGCAGTGCTGTAAAATAGGGAACAGGACAAACCTTTATTTCTAACAAAACATGTATGATGTATGGGAACCGTAGGTGAAGAGGACCTGGCCCAAACAAGCTTACAATATAGAGGACTTCCTTTGTCAAATATAATTTTCCCACAATTCTCACCATTCCTCCATTGTCTTGCGAGTTCACCCCTCCATTTCCAAACACCTCTTTTGCCGATTATGGAATGTGGGTTTATATCAAGAAAGATGATGACCTTATGTGTCCTTATATGGCCAGAGTTTTAGCTAAAAGGTTTACGTTATTATGGCCAGAACCATATAGAACAGTTCACAAAGGACAACGAGCAACATGGCGGAGCATTGAATAAGGATCCGGTGTTGAAAACTATCGAAAAAACAAAGTTGATTTGTTACCAATAGAAATATTAAACTCAATGAGGGGACACTGAACAGTGGTGGTGTTTGGGGAGGGCGCAAAAATAAGGTCATGAATTGACAGCTCTGTTTTAAAGAAACACTCTTCACACCATGACTTTTGTACTATGGTTATGGGGCCAGGATTTTAAGATTTGTTGTTTCAGGATAAATGTTAAGGGTGATATACTTTACAGACTTAAATGGTAGGGAGCTGTGCAGCACAGACTTTGTGTTCAGACAGGTGGATGTCTGAGGTGTGTGAAGAACATGGGACAGTGAGAGATGCACCTTAGGGACATGCAAAGCTCACTACACACACATTTGGACCACCAGGGATGGAGTGACCTTTCATAGTGGGTAAAGAGAGGACCTGGCTAATGTGTTATTGTTTTGTTTTTTTAAGTTTTCAAAAAATAAGATGAGTACTTAAAGCTGCATGTGGTGATGAGTGTAATATTCATACAGATTTACGCATTGAAGTGAGAATTCAAGTGAATTTCAAAATTAAGGTCAAAATAGTTGAACTGTAAAAATAAAATCAGTTAAGCTTTCCACTCAGCTACTCTGACCTTAAATTTGAAAATCATTTCACTTTGAATTCTCACTTTAGTGAATAGCCCTGATAGTAAACATGGTTGGGTTGTAGGTTGAAGGTGTTTGGACTAATGTCAGAGTAGCACGGGTAGAGTAAGACTCATGGGGACTGAAGGATGACCCTTGGAAATGGCAAGAAGGGCACCACCAGGAGCTACAACAAACAAAGCAAGCTGGGCAGAATAGGATGATGTGTTCAGGAAAACCAGGAGGAGAAATGGGCAGAAAAAGGGAGAGAGGAATTGGAAAAGTGACAATATTGGTGAACGAATAGAGGAGAATAAAATTATAGAGTAGTAGAGGATATTAAAGATGGGAGGAAAGAGCACCATTTATAGATTTATAAAGTCTAGTCAAATATCAAACAGAGAGGAGTACAGGAAGTCTTGAGGGTAAGGAAAGGGGAAAGGAATATGAGAAGTCTGAACAAAGAGATTCCACTTTGGAAAGTAGATTAAACTCGCTCAGGGTTATTCACTAAAGTGAGAATTCAAAGTGAATTTCAAATTTACGGTCGAATAGCCAAACTGGAAAAATTCTGCTTTGCTTTCAGTTTGGCTTGAATTTAAAATTCACTTTAAAGTATCCCTTTAGTAAATAAACATGGTCTGTTTTACTGGACACTGTGGCATTCCACAATCTATAACCGAAGTTGCCAAGTATGTGCCCTCCATGTATTTGACTTATCACTGCTACCTCCTTATTAAATGCCACTTGATCTCAGGCAGTTGGTACATAGCTTCCGAGATTTTCTGAACTCTACTAAGTAGTATGTCTGTTTTATAGTATGCTCAAATAATGCATTACACATTTACTATATTACAGACATGTATAACTCAACCAGTTCCACTCATGGAAACGAACACTAATTAAACACCGTTATATGCATCATACTTTAAACACATATGTATTACTTACAGACATCCTGTGAACAGTGCGCAAGGGAGAATTTACAGAGTATGAGTGCTTCTATGTGTATGTGTATGTACCAATGTCTCTGTGTTAGTGTGTATGCATTAGATAATTGGTTTCAAACACTGGATTGATGGTAGGTGGTCTAAAGATTTGTCTCATTTTAATGTCCGCAAGTGTTTATGGTGGCTCTAATTGTGTGCAGTTATCTGCTTTTGGCTAATACATAATTGCATACATCCCAGATTAGTGAGTAAAACATGGATTGGTAGGCCAGTGACATGTCATGTGTCACTGGCATGCAAGCCAAGCTGCCTACCACTAAATCTGGCCAGTCACACTAAGGGCCGGCTATTCAGAGAACATGGTTACAGCGCTTACTGCATGGTCTGTAATGTAATAATGTGCTCACACTATGCTTTCTAGAGAAACTGACCTGGAATAGTGGGACAGGAACAGAAATACAGACTGTCCTGCCATATTTTGGATACTTGGTAAGCATTGAACAGTTAGCTGAGCTACAATTCAATACAATTCTGTGCTTCATCCAATGCACAACTGCAAACCAAGATAAGAAAAAAAAAAGTTCTGATATAAGTACACAGGTACAGCATACAGAAATAATGTATTTTAGATTGGGAATGTAGAATAGGTAGGATAAAGATGTATAATGCTGAATAACATTTTCCAAATCTGTACAATGGTGCATGCTCAAAATACAGCCTTGTATGCCCCAAAAATCTAAATTGTGCCCAAATTTTAAATTTTCCAAAGCATCCAAATTTGTCAATTTGATGTTTTATATTTTTGCTAATGATGTTGGCTCAACAAAATGCATGGTTGAAAATGGTCGATTTTTCTAAATTGAAGAATACAATTTCTTCCTATAATACCTTACAGCAACTATTATAATAATGATCACAACTATTACTGCTAGAATGATCACAAATATGACACCAGATGAAGTCTCACAATTAATTTTTAACATAGAAAGCATGGTTCCATTTGCAGATTGAGGAGACCAGCACAAAGTATTGCTATTATCCTCAAACATCTTCAGGTTTTCCATATACCATGATATGAATTGGGTATTGGAACACGAGCAATCGAGTGGATTGTGACTTAAATTAATAATACTTTGATTTCCAATGTTGTGCACCAAATTAAAAGGTATAATTGTAATCCTATTAAAAGCAAAATTTAGGTAGATGTAACTGAGGTCTCCAAAGGCATTGCTACTGAATTGCAATAGCTGATTTTGACTTAGATCTACGTAATTGAGCTTTTTCAAATTTGAAAATGCGTGTTCCTCTATTGCTGTTATTTCACAGGAGGACAATATTAGGTCTTCCAAGTTTACTGCATGTTTGAAGAGGTTGCTAGCTTTGATAACTCCCGAATAAAATGAACATTTCTTGAGGTTCAGGTAGCTGAGATTATGAAGACCCTCCAAGATGTGATCATTACTTCCATTAATATAGCTATGGGACATATTTAGTACTTTTAAGAGTTTCAAATTACTAAATGGACTAAAAGACTCAGGAATGAAAATGTGGGTGTAAGCAAAATCTAGGACTTCCAGGTTATCACTATCTGGAAAGGAGTGTTGTGAGAGGGTAAGTCTACCATTGGAACTGAGGTTTAGATACTTCAAGGCAACAAGACCCATAGAGTGGTTGCTACAACAGTCCTTCGTTTCTTCAATACTATGACTTAAATCCAAAAATTGAAGAGATTGAAGATTTTTCAAACAACCTGTTCCCATGCTTATCATTTTTTCGTTGTACCGTACGTGAAGGCTTGTGAGTAATGTTAAACTCTCTGTTTTTATATCACAAAGACTGTTGAATTCATTTTTATGCAGTATGAGGTCCCTTAGTGAATTATTAAACTTAGGAAAGCAATCAATCCAGGTGTTTGTCAAATCTAACTTTTGAACCTTGCTTAAACAGAAGAATGTATTGGGTGACAGTTGATCAAAATGTGTATGTTGTAAATCTACTTCATTTACTGAAATATTGCAAAGACCATGTAACGTATTTGGAGTGACTGGAAACTTATTTTTCATGTTTTCAAATGTTCCAATTCTAAGAATATTGGTAGTTAAACCATTTAAACCACCTAAAAGATCTGACAAATTGGCATTCTGGCCACAGGCTGTCAAATCCAAAATATTCAACACACTTGAATTGAAAGAATTTGGTTCAATATAATCAATATTATTACCCATCAATAACAGACTGAGGTTTTTTATATTCTTTAAAATTTCTGTATCTTTTGTTGTTATCTTTGTTATGACGTTAAATCGAAAATCCAAAGTTTGTAGCTTCCTTGTTGGCAAAGTGTCCGGTAGCCACACAGAAGAGATAAAATTGTGTCCAAAATTCAAATTTTCCAAAGCATTCAGATTTGTCACTTTGATTTTTGATATATTTGTTAATGATGTTTGCTGCAAGAACAGATGACTTACTGGTATTGCTCCAGAAAATGCATAGTCTTTAATGTATAACACAGGATTTCCAATCAGTATAATTGTTTTGAGATGAATATTACTTTGGAACACGTAGTCGTATATCCAGTTAATGTTGCATCTGCAAAATAGTAATAGTTAGATTTCTAAATAGTGGTTTTCTATGGAATAGTTCTTAGCATGCAGATCTTGTGTAGATAACAATGGACGTAATTGACCAACTCTAGGTCCTGGCCAGCTTCTGGTTTTGTACCAATATATCCATTGTTTTACCTATATAATTCGCTGAATGAAAAAGATTACAAATTTTTCAGAAGAGGATGTTCATATATTGTCCAAATATACATTTCCAGATCAGTGTTATCTAAACACATCATGGCCGGTGCGTCCATCAGGCGGCCGCCTTAGGGCGCCAGAGTAGGGGGGCGCAAAAATCTGAATCCCCTGCCTCTTACTTGTCTTCCTGCAGCCTGCACAGAGCAGGGCAGTGAAGTCAGCCATCCTCTGATGATGTCCCAGACTTCCCAGCGGTCCTAACTCTCTCTGCAGCTTCAGCCTCCAGTGCAGCCTGTCCCACCCAACCACCATGTATAAGGTTCTCCTCTCCCTGGCCCAAGGTATGCCTCTGGGAGGGTGGAAGGCATTTTAGTATGTATTTTTTAAAATCAAACTTCTTTTTTAGCAGCACCTCTTTACAGCCATTCTATTTCCCTCTACAGCCTGTCTCCCCTCAGCTGCCCCTCTATTTCCTCCTACAGACCCCCACCATACTGCCCCTGTGCCCCCTCTACAGACCCCCACCATACTGCCCTTGTGCCCTTTCTACAGCCCCTCTATTTCCCTATATTGCCTCTGCCCCCTCTATTTCCCTCTACAGCCCCTGTCCCTGAACCCATTATACTGCCTCTGCCCCCCTCTACAGCACCTGTCCCCACTATACTACCCTTGTCCTTCCCCCTCCCCCCCCGACTGCCACTTTTCCATCTTCTTCAGCTTTGGCCTTACATTTGAAATTCACTTTGAATTCCAGACTTTTCTCACTTTAGTAAATAACTGTAATGAGTATAATAAACAAAACTGAGTTACCTTGCCAAATTTAAATATGTCAGGTTTCTTAGTCTGCTGAAGGTTGAATCATAAAGCGCATAAAGAGAATTGAAACTGAAATCTAGAATTTCTGTGGTCAAAGGAATGCTACTAGGAACATTTTGTAGTCCAAGACCTTCACAGCTGTAGCTCTGATCGGCAACAACCTGAAAGAAAAGCACATAAAAGAATATAACTTAAAAATCTAAATAATTAGTTTTGTACATAATAAAAGAAAAATAAAACACTCATATCCCTATTTCTAAGTTAAATTAGTTTTCAATTAAATGTACCCCCACCACCATGTATAAGAAGTTCCTGGGTAACCATGGCAGCAGCAGAAAAGGTCAGTAAATTAAGCAATTAATATGTTAAAGCCTCCCACCTTTCTGTCTTTTTCTTTTTTTCTTATTATCCGCGGATGGTAGTAGTTTATTTATTTATTTTTTAAACCCCTTCCAGACCAATGATCAGTTATCACCAGTTACCATTTCCCTTCATGGATTGGCAGGAGAGAGCCTCCGATCTCCTATTGGGCATTTGCCTGATGGCCAGTCCGGGCCTGCCTCTAGGTAACTTCCACTTTAGTGCCTGCACCTATTGGGGCTTTTGAAACTTAGAAGAAAGCAGCGGATAGCACTAAAAGACGCCAGATCCACTGCCAACTTAGACACTATTGTGTCAATTTCTGGTATAAGAATTTTTAGGTGTAAACTAACATTGACGTACCTGCATGAAAACAACAATTTTCTAAGAATGACGCGCCAGTGACATCTTACTCATTTACACTTAGACACATGCGTAAAAAAAAGGAATCATCTTCTGATACTGACGCAGGTGCCAAGTTTTGCTTGCCGTATTATTTGTACTAGATCGTGGTTGTGTCATTTTGTCCACAAGTTAACGTAAACGAGGCGAGCAGTGACCTTTGTGCCTTTTTATATTTGTAATTCGTTAACTGATTGCATCCTGCCTCTTCCTATATGCATGCGTCAATGATGCAAAGGCCTGGGCCTATGTAACTCAAATTTTTATGGTGCTGCATATTTTCATTGTTTCCAGACCCTTAAGTATGTTACTTTGCATAATTGTGGATTTTACGGTTTTGACCCAACCTTGTCCCTGACCTTATTTTTTTTATATTCCTTAACCAGCTAGCCTTGTCTCTGATTATTGATATTTTTCTGTTTCTGACAATTTAGTTTTTTCCTGCTGTCTTGGTTATTTGTGTATCTGGCCTATTACAGGTAACATAGCCCTATTTCCTATTTCCAGCTAAGCATTAAGCTGGGTCAATCTAAGGTCTGGTTATATACCTCTTCTATCAGTCTTACTGTGCCACCAGCTATTAAAAAAACAGAAGGTATAAAGAGGTCTTAATTTTCCTATCCCGATCCCCGACAAGAAAGCTTTAATTCCAAATACTTCAAAATATACAGCCAAGTGATAAAGTACAGCTGAATCTGCACTCATGAGTGAACGGAATTGAAAACCTCCAATTATGGAAAAGGATGTGCACAAAACATTACTGATCAAGGATTATAGCAAAGATTATGTTACTAGAGATTTCAACTGTTTAAATTATCAAAAAAAATTTCTCCAGATTCAGGTGCGAAGGTCAGTGATTCTGTTTGTTACTCAATAAAAATTATATTTTTATACATTGGCATTCTTTGTGATACATGCAGCAGGGTACATGTATAACACACATTTGCCAGCTGGCAGTGCTGTTGTTGGTAGCTCAACTCACAAGTGAGTTGTCATCCGTACACAGAGAGTAATGTGATAGATTAGACTAGGCACGCCTTTCGGTTATAACTTCCCTTTAGAATTTGCTTTGAACATCTGTTGAACTTCTTGTTTATTGCCGTGTAAAGTTTACTTTTTGACTGGCAAGACAAAACTCATTGGTATTGTTCATCTTAAAGCAACACAATCTAAATGTATCTACATTTACACTGTCCGAAATGCACCTTGCTTACGCTATTTACATTTTCTGATTTGTATATTTTCACAGTGATTTTTGAGACTTGTGCATGAAAAAACATATTGCTTTCACTGAACCACTTTGGCTAAAGACAAAATAATTATTTCAGAAATATGGCGGCTTAGGCTCATTCAATTTTTTTTTTTTGTAATTCTTTATTTTACAGTTCAGATAATTGTCAAGCTTATGATGGCATTAAGAAGTAGAGCAATTACAGACAGTAGATTAGAAAAAATACACAATTTATATTAAGTGTCAGGCAGAGTAAACTGGTCCAAACAGTGAATGCAATAAAGCATGTAAATTAAAACTATAGCTTAGAGTAGGAGTTTACAAACAAGATAAGATCCAAGAGGCCCCCTGGACAACTAGTATCGTGCTACACAGACAGAATATTCCTTGTTAACGCTAGGTAGCTTTAAAAACCTGAAGAACCAAAAGCATGACAATATCAGATTTAGTGGATGCAGAAAGATAAAATAACAGCCTCCAACATGATGGCATCAGAGGGGTATTAAAACCAGCCAACAGGTATGTCTGTCAAAAGTCATCCCGCACCTCTCTGGGGCAAGTCCGAGGTACAGCTCAGTAAGACCGGTATCTAACCTATGGGCTCAGGCCACAGTTTTCGCAGAAAGGAGTGCTGAGAGGAGCTCAGCTGTGACCCCAAAGGGCAAACCTGCAAGCCAAGGTCTCTAGAAGCAGGATAGGTCCACCACATGTGCTAACCTGACGGTAGGTTGCACTCGGCTTCGTCCATGTTGCGCTGATTTGGGCATCTACGCCGATGTCAAATCGGCTTTAATCCCAAAGCCAAGTGCCTTCTCCTGGGACGCATCTATAATCTCCAAGATGGCTGGACTTCAGGCTCTTGGGGAACGATTCTGTGCTGGTGCTCACTAGCAATACGCTTTAGCTGCCTCCAGAAATAAGAAAAATTTTTGTTTAGCTGGGCCTCAATATCAAGGCGTGTAGTGCCGGAATTAGGAAAACATGTGGACTCCGCTATCTTCAGGGTAATTCAGGGCAAGCTCCACCATCTTGAAGTGCTGCTTCCATCTGACCACCTGGGTCCTGGTTGTGCATCAGATGTGGACCAGGACCCCGGGGATAGCTGCGGCTCTATCATAAGAGTAGTTGCTTCTGGCACCCTCCGGTCCATCTGCATTTGCTACATTGGGTTGTAGCTCCTGAAAAATCACTGGGTGCAGCTCAATGTGCTAAGTATGCCGGGTAAGCACACCGTTCCAGTGAATTATCTCTTTGAGCCAGGTAAAGTTGCTAGAAGTGGTTATCAGGAAAGTAGAGGGGAACTCGCTTGATATGTAACGCTCCACCACAGCAGTCAGTCTCCGCCCCCTTATTCAAATTCAAAGATTTGGAAAATGAATCGGATGCACTGGTGCAAGAATGGGCCAATCAGTGCCCTGCAAAAAAAATATATATTTTTCAAGAATAGAAATGGAGAGAAAAAAAATGATATATAAAAGCAGGAAAAAAAGACGTGGAACAGTCAAGTTCTGTGCTAATAATCAGGTCTTAAACATTAACACTGCAAGTCTGGAGAGTCCATTACACAATCACTAGGAAATCTTAATCCCTGTTTATATATATTAAAGGGACACTATAGTCACCACAACAACTACAGCTTAATGTAGTTGTTCTGGTGAGTATAAACATTGCCTTTTTCACAGAAAAGGCAGTGTTTACATTGCCCATAGGGACACCTCCAAGTGTCCACTCCTCAGATCACCACTGGAGGTGCTTGCTGGATCAGTGCCATTCAGCGTCTTCACGCTCTGAATTTTCCACATAGATATGCATTGATTCAATGCATCTCTATGAAGAAGTGCTGATTGGCCAAAACGGCGCTTGGCCCCGCCTCATGCAGCTTTTGGCCAATCCAATGCTTTCCCTATGGTAAAGCATTGGATTGGCTACAAATCGGCAATTCTGATGATGTCATCAATGCGGCGGATCGGAGACGGGGCTAGCACCGGTAGACCCACATGGCACTGGAAATAAGGTGAGTTTTAATTATTTTTAAGGGGGCTGAGGTAGAGGGGGGTAAGAAATACATGTTTGTGTTCCTGACCCTATAGTGTTTAAAAATCTAGATTTTATCTAGATAAAAATATAGATTTATTTTTTTGCTGGTCTAACTTTTTCCCCCTCTTTTGATCTCTTCTCACTTGATCTGTGAATAACATCTTAACAACCATCTCATTTTTTTGTTGTTTGCACCAAAGGAGGAATTCTGAATCCTGAATCAAAACAAACATGCTTGTCCATTGCGTGTTTCATTTGATTCATGATTTGGTTACATTATAGCTCAGAATTTGAAAATTCAGACAAATTCCAGTTTGAAACTAGAAACATCTCCAAATCTAGTGATTTTCTCCTACTTCACGTAGAAGCCAAGTTTAAAAAGAACCAAAGCTTAATTGCAAGGAACCCATCTCACACCTGATTTCCTATTGATCACCAGTGCTATTCTTGTACTTTTTTTATGAATCATGCCTAAACCAAAGAAAAGCAAAATTATCTTACAATTACAAAAAATAAAATGAATACATTTGAGTTTGTTCCCCCTCAAAATATTCCATTGGCTTATTCCCTTACTGAAACACTGAATTAATTTATGAAATTAGTTATAATTTTTAAAAAAAAAAGAGGTTGGTACCTTTTTTTTTTTTTTACTAACTTTATACTTACCTCTGTAAGTGCTTTAGTATAACAGTTGTGTGAAAAAATTGTTCATAGAGGTGAACGTTTAGGTTTAACTTTTCTTTACTCTTATTCTGGCTCCACACTATCTCATGTGATCAAGTTTCGGGTTAGGGTGCACATCAATGTTCTCCATGCTATAATAAGTGCAGCACCTTGGGCAGATGTGGCAGTAAGCAGAGGACAAAAAATTAACTCCAAAGTGTGTTCATGTAAAACATCAGAGAGACATAGAAACATAGCATGTGAACCATTTGGCCCATCTAGTCTGCCCAATTTACGAAATACTTGAATTAGTCCTTGGCCTTATCTTAAGTCTAGGATAGCTTTATGCCTGTCCCACGCATGCTTAAACTCCTTTACTGTGCTAACCTCTTCCACTTCAGCTGGAAGGCTATTCCATGTGTTCACTACCCTCTCTGTAAAGTAATACTTCCTTAAATTATTTTTAAACCTTTGCCCCTCTAATTTATGTCCTCTTAAATTAGAGGGTTCTACATCATAGACAGAGACCTCTCTGTTTATGATGCAGAACTGGCATATAAAATAAGAAGTGGCCAGAAAATGCAAATAGGTTTGCAGAAGTGAAAGTATTCATTTTGACATTGTTTGTCAGCTATAGAATTTATTTTTCAACCACAATGTGTAAGCTGGTTTGTAAGAAACTGCAATTCATTTACCCGATCATCAGAGAAAGCCTTCTATACCTTTAATGTATAGTGCCATAGCTGTGTGTGTGTGTGTTTAAGCTATGGCACTTTATAAATGCCAATAATAATAATTAGCATGTATAAGGCGCCAACCAATTCCACAGAGCTTAACAATATCATTCTGTGTTGGTTAGGAGCATTGTGTTGTGGGTACTTGTCATTCACAAATAAAGCAGATCTGACAATTTCAGGGGTCTTCCATAGACAAAGTCTGAATCCCACAGCCGTCATTTGTGACCGCTGCTAGTATTGGACAAAAGTTGATAGAGAAGCCCTTTGTGTGCGTCGTTCTGGTGACATTTTTGAAGCAGGACATTCCGCTTCATTCTTGCGATTTGAAAATGATGTTATGTGTCGATCCGGTGCCAAGAATGACATGGACTGCTTTACCCATAACTGATCTTCTAGCCAATATGAGGCAGACATAGGCTCATTTTGGAAACGGTGCCCAAATACATTTTGGCATCACTCTAATGATTCAAGACACTAGTGCTATGTATACTCACTATAGCATGGGAACTGTGTCTGGACATGGTCTCTAGTAGTCAGAGAGTGCGTTCATTAGTGTCTTGCTTCTTCTGGTTACTGACTATTTCTTGTGTTTTGACTTTTCCGACTTCTCCTATCCTGACTTGGGTGGTTTACCTGGCTTTATTCTGTAATCCCTTGACACGCTACCTTTGTGCGTTGGAATGCTGTAATATACTGACAATTAGATTCATAACTGAGAACCTTGTTTATAGTTTTTTTTTATTTTGTGTGCAGAGTTACACTCACATACAGCAGTAATTATGTGCATATAGACTCCAAGTAATGATGTATTGCAAGATATTATACAAATAACGAGGTATCTACACTTTTTTGTTTGTAAAATAAAGCAAAATAACAGACTATATAAAACCTATATAAATGCACATTTAAAAAGACATGCTAATAGATAAGCTCCAAAATCAGAAGATACTTTCAGCCAACTCCTAAACTAGGTAGTGGTATCGTGATCGTGCAGAGCCTGCTTTTGAAGGCACTGCGATTTAAGTCAAGGAGGGTCATCATGGAACTGTGCAGGGAGCACAAGCTAAAAATGACTTTAACGCGTCACCTGGCACCCTGACTGGGTACCTCCGTTGAAGGATGCTCCTAGCACTTCCTGAGGACTCCAAGCACTGCAGCAGACACCATAACCACCATAGACTCCTTTAGAGAGCAAAACAGGAACATGCTCTTACAAGAGTTTAGCAGAGAATACGCAGAGCATAACAATCCATTGTAGCAGATTCCCCCCAATAAGAGATGGCACTCCAAATTGAGGGTGAAGTAGAACTGTCTAAAACTTTATTTTACTTGGGACTAGCCCATATGGTCATTACATTAACATTGCTGTGAAAACTCAATAAAATTACAAACAGTCAAATCATAGCAACATACAGTGACTTATTATAACATAATTACATATTTATAAATGGGTGGGGAAGACCATAATTAACACAAAATGTCTCTCCTGCATGCAGAATTAGTGATATGCAAATCTACCCAAATATGCAAATTACCAGTCTTGCTATTTAGGTAGTGCATATTTCTGTTGCTACCAACAGAGGTCTCTACACAAGCTCCATAGCCAAATCCACCTAGTTGGTAGCAATCCTTAGTAGTACAGGAGAGCAGGCACTACATCCCAGGGGCCATAGTCATATGGCAGGAGGCTGGCAATCAGTCTTCTCCAGTGCTGAGGGTGGTTCCGCCACAATGACCATCTGCAAATGTGGGTGGTGTGGTGGAGGTGTCTCTGCCCAGGTAGATACTGCGTTGCATAAGTAGTTCTAATCGATGCAGGTTTACGCGAAGCAGGTCCCCACGTCTTCTCTCCACAATGTCTCCTATCCCCCTTCAAATAACAGGTAGCGAGTTTTGTCAGGGACAAGTTTTCTGACAACTTGGGCTGAATCTGCTTGCTGAAATTCACAGACTGTGGGAATGGAATTGCTTCAATGCTTTCCTATGGGCTTTTGGGTCATGCTGGATGTCCTCATGCAAAGTGTGCAGCATCAGGCGACCAAAAGTCTACCAGACAGCCACTAGAAGTGGAGTTAACCCTGCAATGTAATTATTGCAGTTTATTAATAATTACAATACCAAGGTTAAAGTGACACTAGCACTCTACTCAGACCACTTTAACAAGCTGAAGTGGTCTAGGTGCCTATGATGTGCTTTAATATAACATTTGGGATTTGTCAATAAAGGAATATGTATTAAGCATTAGTAATTAACATCGATTTTGCTTTAAATAGGGCAGTATAGCCTCCAAATGTAGTCTTTTTTATTTTTTTTTAGTCTTTTTCACTTTTGCAAGGGAGTTCATGTCCTGGTATTTTACAGACTAAAAAAAGCATGAATTGTAGAAGGTAGTTTATAAGCTCTACAAGTTCCGTTTTGAGTCTGCTGTGTGTTTTCTGATACAAAAACGTTTAATAAAAGTATTTAAATTATTCAATAAAAGTATATTTTTATTGAGATAGATTTCATGTGTATATCTTAAATGCCAGGCCACAATGACTGCACTATTGTATAGAGAGCGCACAAGAACATGATCTAATATATAAATTCCTAAGATTATAGAGCCCGTGACCAGTTTGGATAAATTTTAACATAAAAGTTCCCAAACTATATCCAAGTAATTTAATCTAGGAGCGTTAACCCCAATTCAGAGCGCCTCTCACTTCCTGTCAGTCAGGCCAGGTACAGGAAACTGAAGCTCCTGTACCACGGTCTGCTGTGCCCAGCAACGCTAAGGTTGGAGACACACTGTGACCAGGTGGGGGAGAGAGGGGCACTAAGGGACAGGGTAGGGTGGGGGAAGGGAGAAAGAACATTATGGGAAACGGGGGTGGGGGGGAGGGAGAAAGAACACTATGGGAAAGTGGAGTGGGGGGGAGGGAGAAAGAACACTATTGGAAAGGGGAGTGGGGGGAGGGAGAATATTTTTTTTTTGGGCGGGAGGGTGACTAGAGGCTTGTGGACCCCTAGTCATCTGGAGGTATTTTTACATTTAGCCTCCACCTGTCACCCATGGGTGAGGGCTGGGAGCGAGGACAATAGGTCCCCCTGCATTTTCATTTAGGGCCCTCACCCGCTGATCATGGGTGGGGGCCAGGGGACGACAATAGGTTCTCCCCATTGTCTTTTAGGGCCCCCACCCACTGCTCATGGCTACTCACTGTTTACTAGACATGCGCCTACTCGCGGCTGCAAGATGCTGCCACAGTATGGATCCGATCGGAATTTCATTCATTGGAATTAAATTTCGAACCGACCTAAAAGCACAGAATGTCATCCTAACATGAATGAACAACCTGTTCTCATTCTGTTAGGACGGAATTCATAGTTTCGCTGGCGTTCTATCTAAATGACAGGACGTTCGGGAATAGTGAAAGCAGGCATTGCAAGATCATGAAGGAAAGTGTGAGTATTGTGGGAAAATTTATCTGACCCACTTGAGCTGGTCAAGCGTAGGAAATATACATAAGACAAAGTAGTCCCTTCTTTGTCTTATGATTTAAAGAAAACTAGATTAGATGGGAAGAAATTAAGAACAGATCCTGAGAGAGGGAGAGAAGAGGAAGCGGTTAGGGAAAGGTAAGTTCGGCATGATAGTGCTGCTTTAAAGATCTCACACAAACAAACCTTTGACCACAAAAGACAAATGTCCGGGTGGCCGGAAGGAGGAAAGCGCACAGTGCTCCTCTCCTGCTGGTCTCTTCTTGTAGCGTGGTCGAGCGCCAGCAACTCCATCCACCCTGCCTTCCACTCTCTTCATTGCCGTGGACTGTGTGGAGAGGGCGGCGATATAAACATAGAAATCTCTCCTCCCCATGTACCACACAGCGCGGCTAGCGCCCAACAGGCATGGGGCTACCTCCTACCCCCTTCTTATCGACATCACTTCCTCCCAAGAACACTGGAGTTGCGAGAGCAGGAGAAGGCAGAGAGGAGGGGGGCTGGGTAGGGCCAGCTCCCACAACTCCCAACTACCTAAGGCAGCACTCTGGATCCTAGGTAAGCCACCCTCCTGCACCCACAATGTAGGAAACAGGAGGATGGCTAGAAAAATGTGAATTTTGACCAGTGTGTGTATCTGTGTGTGTCTGTATGTCTGCCTGTCTGTGTGTCTGTCTTTATGTCTGTGTGTATCTGTATGTCTGTCAGTGTGTCTGTGTGTATCTGTATGGCTGTCAGTGTGTCTGTGTGTATGTGTATCTGCATGTCTGTCAGTGTGCCTGTGTGTGTATCTGTATGTCTGTCAAAATGCAGCTTCGCCTGTGTAGTCAAAAATCCTTGCGCCGGCCCTGATTGAACGTTAAAGCTCTTTAAACTGCACTAATCAATGAGTTTGATATGCTCTATATTGTTTAGGGAAGTATTACTATTCAGAAAAGAACTAACACTTTACATAATAACTTCATCTCTAGAAAAGCTGTATGAGACATTTGAGTAGAAACAAGAATCTCTAGAAAAGTTGAAATATTCTTACCTCTTGACACATCAGTTCTTGCATAACATCAGGCGCCTGGGAGTATGCTGAGCAAAATGTGAGCAATAAAATCCAGTAAAGTCTATAATCCATAGCGGTGAGGGCCGCTTCACCTGTTCTCATGATGCTTTCACGGTCTATAGAAGAGAGAAGCTGTTTACTGTAGCAGGAGTAATGTAATTTGTGGTAGCTATGCATTGCGTGATGTTTCCTGTTTCCCAGTTTCTCCTTTTTTAAAGTCTGTCTATTAATTAGATACTGTTGTAATGTCTTTATTACCATGCAGCGTCAAGCATAAACTTGTCATGTAGGATATTTATTATATTGTCTGATCATATTTCACTGAAGGACATTAAATACTATATCTGCAATGTTCGTTAATAATTTATTCTTACAGTGATTATTCAGAAAGTGCCAAAAAGTTTGACAGTTACATTGAATAAGAGGATAACAAAAATGAACCAATGCAGAATGGGAGTGCACAAAACCACTAATATTTATTAAAGGAACACTATAAGGTTAGGAATACATATGTGTATTCCTGAACCTAGAGTGTTAAAAACATTTTTTAGGTGGGAGTCCCACTCTTGCCTTCCTTAAATAGCTGTAAAACTCATCTTTATTCCAGCGCCACGCGGGTCCGCCGGCTCTGGCTTCGCCCTTGAACTGCCTCCTTGGCTGAGATCATCCAATGCTTTCCTATGGACCACTAGTGGGTCTTCCTGGGTCAGTGTTGCACATTGCTCTGCGTGGAAACACTGCACATTTCCCATAAAGATGCATTGATTCTATGAGAAGATGCTGAATGGCCAGGTCTATGTTTGGCTCCACCTCCACCCTGCCTTCTTGGCTGTGATCATCCGAATTCACTATCTCAGCCAATCCAATGCTTTCCTATTGGATTTAAGGATGATATGAATGTTTGTTTTTTTTTTCAAATCTGGTAGATGCATATCTGAATTATTTTCTGATTTATTAAAATGTTCCTTTTTAAGGGCATACCAGTGGACAGTGAGAGAACACTAGCTGCTATTTTATCAGCAAAAAGTGGATTCACCCTCAATGCTGCTCCAAGGCAAGTATTTTCAATGTGCCCTAGATATATTTTTTATATTTATATATATATGTACAACAATTTTTGTTTGGATGATAAGTGAGACAGAGCTGGGAGAGGGTGTGTGTGTAGAGGAAGCTTTTAGAGTTGTATGTTTGTTGAAATGCTGCTTGTTGGGTTGTATGTCTGGGGGTGGCTGCATGTGGGGTTGCATTTGGGGCTGTTGCGGGGGAAAAGTTGCTATAGTGGGAGGATGGGGGCTGTAGTGGGGTATATTGGCTAGGGATGGGGGAGAGGGGGCATAGCGAGGAGGAAAGTGGCTACAGTAGGGAAGTTAGTAGTGGAGGGTAAGGGCTGTAGTGGGGGGGATAGTAGTGGTAGGTTAAGGAATATTGTGGGATGGATAGTGGGTACAGTGGACGACAGGGGCTGTGGTAAGGTGACAGAGACTTTATAAAAGTTTCTTCCCCCTCCCATAGAATTTCCTTGGACCAGGGAAGGAGGAGTCTGGTTCCTTGGTGGTCTGATTGGAGATTCACTATATCTGCCGCTAGATTATTCCTGCCAGCACTGGGAAATGTATCACAGCATTGCCATAACAAAACAACACTCTGATATAGTATAAGTGAGAAAGAGCCTCCCTTTATTCAAGCTCCAGCCCTGCATATGTCAGTTGAGGAAATCACCCTTACCATCCACACAGCAGATGAATAGGCTGGCTGGAGATGAAGATATTTGGTTTTAAAGTGTATTGGGGCAATCAGGGCCGCCATCAGGGCACGACAACCATAACGGTTGTCATGGGCCCGGCGGTCCTGGGGGGCCCGGACTGCTCAGGTCGTCCGGGCCCCACATTCAGTGGGTACATACCGGGTCACAGGGGGCCTTGCGACCCCGGTATTTACCCACTGGGCCAAATTTGAGGGAGGGGGGGGGAGAGGAAGAAAATTGGAGGGGGGGAGAGGAAGGAAATTGGAGAGGAAGGAAATTGGAGAGGGAGGGGGAGAAGAAGGAAATTGGAGAGAGGGAGAGAAGAAGGAAATTGGAGAGAGGGGGAGAAGAAGGAAATTGGAGAGAGGGAGGGATGGGGAGAAGTAGGAAATTGGAGGGGGAGGGTGAGAGATTGACATCCATCACACACACACAATGCACCCCTTGCACACAGAAAAACACACAATGCATTACACACAGACACACATACACAAGCAATGCATCCCTTACACACAGCAAACACACAATGCACCCCTTACACACACTCAGTGCATCCCTTACAGACGCACACACTGCATCCCATACATACACAAACTCACCTTGCAGCCCTTACACATACAAACACAGATTCACACAATGCATTCCTTACACACATCAGGACATCCCCCCCCACACACTCCACCCCCTGTGAACATACTCATTGGTGGAACATGAAGGTGGACTCTGGGACCCAGACCTTGAGCTGTGTAAAGGGCCCTTAAAAAAATGGAGCTGCTTCCCGTTCTCCCAGAACATTGATTTTTGTGACCACAGTTACAAACTGCCTCCAGAGAGCCTGTTCTACACCAGACCAGTGGAGCCAGACGGCAGCTAGAGCCCATCATCATCCTCATCTGGTTGTAAGTAGGCAATTTAGTATATTATTAGTGGCACTAATCTCTAATTTACCTCACATTAAAGGGACACTATAGTCCCCATAACCACTGCAGCTTAATGTAGTGGTTCTGGTGTCTATAGCCTGTCCCTGCAGGCCTTTTAATGTAAACACGGCAGCACTGCAGCACTGGTGTTAGTTAACATGGCAGATCATATGGGTGGGGCATTGTGATGTCACATGGGGGAGCGGCAAACTTTACTTTTGCCTAGGGCGGCAAAAATCCTTGCACCGGCCCTGCAGACACTGCATCCCCTGTGGGCGGACTCGGGGAGGGGAGGCAGCACTTTGGGCGGACTCGGGTGCAGGCACCGGGGGGCCCAGATCTTGAGCTGTGTCAGGGGCCCCAAAATTTCTGATGGCAGCCCTGGGGGCAATGCCCTGCCCTGCCCTGCCCCCTACCTCCATTCCTCTGTAACAACGCTTATGATCTTCACATAGCTCAAGTTAACAATAAGTTCCTTAAATTGTAAAAGCGATATTATTCTTTCAACAGTAGTTCATGACATGGTGAGAAACAGGACTCTTTTACAAATAAAAAGAGAACTAGAAGCAGGAAAGATAAAAAAAAAACCAATAAACTTGTCACTCAGCTTGTGATATTGCTGGATGCATTTTATAATGATAAGTTAAAAGTATTTTTATACTGACTAATTACCTATTTTGCCTCCCTTCCTCATTTTCGTCAGCTGAAACCTATAACAAATAATGATATCATAGGATCAGTGGTGTATTTTGGATTTGTGCTGCCCTAGGCACGACTAAATTCGGGCACCCCCAAAATCTAAATTTGCCCCCCAATTCATGTCGAGGCCATTTTTTTGACTGACAGACACATGCCCTCATTGATACATGCACTGATAAACACTCACTGACAGATACACAGTCATAGGCACACACATACAGTCATTGGCACACACATACAGTCATAGGCACACACATACAGTCATTGGCACACACTGTTTAACCAACACACACTTTCACTGACAGACACACACTGACACACCCACTCACTGACAGGCAGACACTCTCAGATACACATAAAATGACATACACACACTGACACACACTCACAGGCACACTCATTCTCACTCACAGACACACACTGACAGCTACACTCACTCGTTCACTCACAGTAAGGTGGACAGCCCTAGAACATGAGGCAAACAAGGCATTTGTCTGGGAGCTTAGGTGGCATTTTTTGGCGCCCCCCCCTGAAAGTGCCGCCCTAGGCAAATGCTTTGTTTGCCTTGTGGTAAATACATCCCTGCATAGGATATATATATACCTAAAAGAATAGTGAAATAATATCACTGGAGTGAGAGGATTTGGAGTATGTGTGTGAATACAGAGGTGTATTTGTGTGTAGTGTTGGCATTTGAATGCTGGGATGCATGCACATACACACTGACAGACACACACAGATATACAAATGATCATTTACATATTTTAGCCATACTTTGGTTTCCACGCCTTTTGGGTACAGGAGGGTGGCTTTTTGGAATCCAGTGGGATCTGGCTAAAGGGTGCACTGTCTGAGACTGAGAGTCTGAAACTGGCTCTCTATGATCTCTCCCTTGGCTTTCTATTCTATATACAAATGGTTGTACATTACTACATGTTGGTGGCACCATAATTGCTGTAGTTGGATTTCAATATACAAGACATACAAAATGCATTCTGTAACATATTCCTCCTCACCTTGCGGTATTTGCACCCAGCGGCCGTGCGTCTGTATAACTGACTCTTGCAATATGTTGATGACTATTATGAACTTTGGGACATTCCTGGACTTCATATGATATTTTTCCCCCCCTTTTTTTTCACAAATTTTCCATTTTTATTTTTTGGCCATTTTTCATAGGTGATATTATGATATTGGTTATTAGATATCCCAGACAAGTCTAATCTAAATTAAGAGGTGTACACCAAGTGATTACGGAAGCAAACTGTGAAGGGATCTTTAAAGGATCACAATACAAACATGTATTCCTGACCCTATAGTGTTAACACCTGGGCCCCTAATGCCTCCATAAATATAGCAAAATCTTACTGTATTCAAACCTGAAGCTGCATGCTGTTTGCCTCAGAAAAACAAGCAGTCTGCTGACATCATCAGAAGTGGTAACCTGATCCAATCACAGTGCTTCCCCATAGGATTGGCTGAGACTGACAAGGAGGCAGATCCAGGGCCGGTGCAAGGATTTTTGCCGCCCTAGGCAAAACAAATTTTGCCGCACCCCACTATGTCTTGCCCACCATGTGACATCACAATGCTCTGCCATATGGGCAAATGCCAGTCTGCACAAAGTATCTTTTATCTGAAAAGACAGTGTGTTTACATTAAAAAGCCTACAGGCACAGGCTATAGACACCAGAACCACTACATTAATCTGTAGTGCTTCTGGTGCCTAAAGTATCCATTTAATGTGAGGTAAATTAGAGATTAGTGCCACTAATAATATATTGGATTGCCTACTTACCACCAGATGAGGACAGGAGGCTAATGATGGGTAGTGATGTCGCGAACCCGAAATTTTCGGTTCGCGAACGGCGAACGCGAACTTCCGCAAATGTTCGCGAACCGGCGAACTGGGCGAACCGCCATAGACTTCAATGGGCAGGCGAATTTTAAAACACACAGGGACTCTTTCTGGCCACAATAGTGATGGAAAAGTTGTTTCAAGGGGATTAACACCTGGACTGTGGCATGCCGGAGGGGGATCCATGGCAAAACTCCCATGGAAAATTACACAGTTGATGCAGAGTCTGGTCTTAATCCATAAAGGGCATAAATCACCTAACATTCCTAAATCACAATGGATATGGATTGACACCTGACATATGACATATTGACACCTTGACATATGGATTCACACCTGTCCTCAGAGACCCTGATACACACTGACACAGAGCAGAATAGGGACTGTTCCCCCTACATAGGGTCACTTGGCAGATATGGATTGACACCTATCCTAAGGATCCCTGATACACAATGACACAGAGCAGAATAGGGACTGTTCCCCCTACATAGGGTCACTTGGCAGATATGGATTGACACCTATCCTAAGGATCCCTGATAAACACTGACACAGAGCAGAATAGGGACTGTTCCCCTACATAGGGTCACTTGGCAGATATGGATTGACACCTGTCCTCAGGATCCCTGATACACACTGACACAGAGCAGAATAGGGACTGTTCCCCCTACATAGGGTCACTTGGCAGATATGGATTGACACCTGTCCTCAGAGATCCCTGATACACACTGACACAGAGCAGAATAGAGACTGTTCCTCCTACATAGGGTCACTTGGCAGATATGGATTGACACCTGTCCTCAGAGCCCCTGATACACACTGACACAGAGCAGAATAGAGACTGTTCCCCTACATAGGGTCACTTGGCAGATATGGATTGACACCTGTCCTCAGAGACCATGATACACACTGACACAGAGCAGAATAGAGACTGTTCCTCCTACATAGGGTCACTTGGCAGATATGGATTGACACCTGTCCTCAGAGATCATGATACACACTGACACAGAGCAGAATAGAGACTGTTCCTCCTACATAGGGTCACTTGGCAGATATGGATTGACACCTGTCCTCAGAGATCATGATACACACTGACACAGAGCAGAATAGAGACTGTTCCTCCTACATAGGGTCACTTGGCAGATATGGATTGACACCTGTCCTCAGAGATCATGATACACACCGACACAGAGCAGAATAGAGACTGTTTCCCCTACATAGGGTCACTTGGCAGATATGGATTGACACCTGTCCTCAGAGATGATACACACTGACACAGAGCAGAATAGAGACTGTTCCCCCTACATAGGGTCACTTGGCAGATATGGATTGACACCTGTCCTCAGAGCCCCTGATACACACTGACACAGAGCAGAATAGAGACTGTTCCTCCTACATAGGGTCACTTGGCAGATATGGATTGACACCTGTCCTCAGAGATCATGATACACACTGACACAGAGCAGAATAGAGACTGTTCCCCCTACATAGGGTCACTTGGCAGATATGGATTGACACCTGTCCTCAGAGCCCCTGATACACACTGACACAGAGCAGAATAGGGAATATTCACTAAATGCCAAACATTGTTATACAGGGGAATATTCAGTAAATAAGGATAAGGGGGGACCTACTGTCCTCCCCCAGCCCCCACCCCTGCACGGTGGGTGGGGGCCATAAATCTCAATGGGGGGGACCTACTGTCCTCCCGCCCGCCCCACCCGTGAGCGGTGGGTGGGGGCCATAAAAATAATGAGGGGGGGACCTACTGTATGATGTTGTATCGATCAGGTAGTGTAAGGGTTACGCCCGCTTCACAGTGACAGACCAAACTCCCCGTTTAACGCACCGCAAACAACCGCAAACAGTCCATTTGCACAACCGCAAACTCCCCATTTGCACAAGGTTGGATACCAAGCTAGCCATGTCCCGTTCCTTGTCCTCACTGATGTCATTGAAGGTCTCTTCCTCCACCCAGCCACGTACAACACCAAGGGTCCCCGAAAGGTGACAACAAGCCCCCTGGGACGCCTGCTGTGTTTGGTCTTCCACCTCCTCAAAGCCATCTTCCTCCTCTGACTCCTCTTCTTCAGACTCCTCTCTCTGCGTTGCCTCTCTATAAGTTATTATAAGGTGTGTTAAGTAGTATTATTCTTATCAGTTTAACCCCTTAAGGACCAAACTTCTGGAATAAAAGGGAATCATGACATGTCACACATGTCATGTGTCCTTAAGGGGTTAATCCCTGTTATGGGCCTTTTTTTTGGTTTGCTTTTTGAAACCACAGTGCAGCACCAGAGGCCTGAAAAATTAGGCATGTACACATGCCTGAAAAATTAGGTATTGTTGCAGCCGCTGTTATAGAAGCGGCCAGAAGAATTGATGTTTGTTTCCCAGGCAGAAAGTGCCCTAAAACAGTGTTCCCCAACCCCCGGGCCCCGGACCGGTACGTGGATCAAACGTTTACCGGTCCGCGGCGATAAAAAGGTTGGGGAGCACTGCCTTAAAACATTGCGGCTTGAACCCTAGTTGGTGGCGGATAAGTCATGCAAGTCAACCGGCATTCAGAGCTAAAATACAGCAGCGTGTGGACCATTTTTAGCCCAAGGCAGCTCATCTCATCAGGCCTTTTTTAGTCGGATGTATCGCCCACTGTCAGTCCCGTCGGGATCCATCCCTCATTCATCTTAATAAAGGTGAGGTAATCTAGACTTTTTTGACCTAGGCAACTTTTTTTCTCAGTGACAATACCTCCTGCTGCACTGAAGGTCCTTTCTGACAGGACAAGCGGGGCAGGCCAGAAGTTCTATCGCAAATTGGGATAGCTCAGGCCACAGGTCAAGCCTGCACACCCAGTAGTGAAGGGGTTCATCGCTCCTCAGAGTGTCGATATCTGCAGTTAAGGCGAGGTAGTCTGCTACCTGTCGGTCAAGTCGTTCTCTGAGGGTGGATCCCGAAGGTATGTGGCGATTCGTAGGACTTAAAAAGCTCCGCATGTCCTCCATCAACAACACGTCTGTAAAGCGTCCTGTCCTTGCCGGCGTGGTCATGGGAGGAGGAGGATTACTTTCACCTCTTTCCCTGTTAGATTCCCGTTGTGCTGTGACATCACCCTTATATGCTGTGTAAAGCATACTTTTAAATTTATTTTGCAAATGCTGCATCCTTTCCGACTTGTTGTAATTTGGTAACATTTCAGCCACTTTCTGCTTATACCGGGGGTCTAGTAGCGTGGACACCCAGTACAGGTCGTTCTCCTTCAGCCTTTTTATACGAGGGTCCCTCAACAGGCACGACAGCATGAAAGACCCCATTTGCACAAGGTTGGATGCCGAGCTACTCATTTCCCGTTCCTCCTCCTCGGTGATCTCAATGAAGGTATGTTCTTCCCCCCAGCCACGTACAACACCACGGGTACCAGATAGGTGACAACGAGCACCCTGGGATGCCTGTTGTGGTTGGTCTTCCTCCTCCTCCTCAAAGCCACATTCCTCCTCTGACTCCTCTTCCTCACAATCCTCTTCCAGCGTTGCCGCAGGTCCAGCAAGCGATGCTGATAAGGCTGGTTCTGGTGGTGATGGTGATCACAACTCTTCCTCTTCACGCTCATCTACGGCCTGATCCAGCACTCTTCGCAGGGCACGCTCCAGGAAGAAAACAAATGGTATGATGTCGCTGATGGTGCCTTCGGTGCGACTG